GCAACACCATCTGGAGTCGAAATTGGCGCCCTTCCGATGAAGCCGCCCGCGTCCCGACGAGCCGGCTTGCCGCAACTTGTCAAATACAAGCCGGTCGTGTATCGTAGCAGCCACAATCCGCTAGCTCGCCCACGTATGTACAGATAGATACTCGTGCTGGAACGCTGTTTCTTCTGCCAGTGGGGCGTTTGGCTTGCAATAGCCCTGATCTGCTCTCGTCTTCATGCATGAACCTGGGGCGCTGGAAGCCCGTGGTTCGATAGCTTCTGGCAGCCAGAGGAGTCTAGGACCACACGCTGACCAACGTGCTCCACTGGAGTCGTGATGATTCCAAAGCCCGTCGAATGAGGTTTCCCTCTTTGGGAACGTCGTGAGCAGATTCTGCCGCAGTGGTATACCGAGCGTTATGCTTCCGGGTCGTGATGCATGGACGGACAAGAGATTATGCGGCCGACTGGGTCCCCCGCCAAGATGGTGACGTATCAAAGGGAACAAGGCTCATTCGCGGCTTCTCTGCAACCGTGACTTGCATCATGGCTACGTGGTTTGAAAGTGGCTCCGGCTCCAGCTCCAGCCCTTCGAGGCTCGTGGGCGTCGAGGCGGCGCAAGAGACGCATCTCCACGTTCTCGGACTCTCACGCTGGGAACCGTCAACCATGGTCGTGGCGGCGAGAGCTGCGTCCCGCCCTGGCCGGAACGTGAGGAGAAGCTTCGCCCGTATGGTCCGTCTCATTGGTTCTCGGGAAGCTTTTAGGAAGATGGTGGGAGGGAGCTTGTTTCGGCAAGCTTCGTACCTGGCTCGAGGTGGTGTGAAGCAAAAATACATGCGTCTTGGTAGCTTTGACGTATACCGTTTCCGTCCGTCGTCTCCCGCGGCATTGAAGCGTTTCTGCTTTTGAATTCGACTGTTCCTGGCAGATGTTTATTTCAATCCACTGCTCCCCCCTCTCAAAAAAAGAAAATTACAGAGTTGCTTGGCGTGACTTGACTTGCCTCTCTCTCTCCGTAACCCCTTCTCTGCCCTTGACCGCGCTGCCGTTTTGTCAAAATGCCCGCCGTCATGCAGTGTGTCCAGACCATCACGATGCCATCCCCCGTCAAGCAGCCTGCTGGCAAATTTGCCTCGAAGCCCCGGGGCGACCTTGACATTATCGACATTCGCAGCAACAGGGTCGACTTCAACCTCAAAGATGAAGTGGCTCGCATGGTGATACCCAAGGACGGGCGCGCTCGCAAGCTCCCGACGCTGCTGTTGTATGATGAGAGGGGGCTGCAGCTATTTGAGGATGTACGTGTGATGGCTCCTCCCAGGCTCTGAAAGCACAATGAGACTTTTCCTGTATCTCGTCACGCACATCTTGATGAACTGTTTGACTCTTTTTTCTTTCTTTCTTTTTTTGGTCCCTCTCCTCCAACTCCCCCCTCCTTCTGCACCTGGACTGCGTCGCTCAAACTTATAACTTCCGCCAGATCACGTATCTGGACGAGTACTATCTGACCAACTACGAAATCGAGCTGCTCAAGAAGCACTCGGTCGAGATTGCCGCCAAGATCCCGGATGGAGCCATGGTGATTGAATTGGGGAGCGGGTATGTCCACGCATTGAAAGCTGTGTGCCCAACCCTGGTGATTCCGAGCTCTTCGATATGAGGGCGTCTGGGCAGTTTTCCCGTGATGGATGGGGATACTAATGCAATGCAGCAATCTCCGCAAGGTCTGTCTCCTCCTGCAGGCGTTTGAAGATGCCCGCAAATCCATCGACTACTACGCTCTGGATCTCTCCAAGAAGGAGCTGGAGCGTACTCTGTCACACGTTCCTGACTTCAAGTACGTTCGCTACCACGGCTTGCTGGGCACATATGACGATGGCACAGTCTGGTTGAAGCAGCCTTTTGTGGTGGACAGGCCAAAATGCATCGTGCATCTGGGATCTAGTATTGGTCAGTGATTTCTCTCTCTTGCTCTCTCTCTCTCTCTCTCTCTCTCTATCTATATACATATATATATATGTGCGTGTGTGTTACTTCTTTTCATAAAAGACCCCTTTTGCCAGCAAAATCCTCTTCAGCCAAAGGCTTACGCGCCTTAAAACAGGAAACTTCCACAGAGACGAGGCTGCCGAGTTTTTGCAGTCGTATGCGGATATTTTAAAGCCCCAGGACTGCATGATTGTCGGGCTGGATTCTTGCCAGAACCCTGACAAGATTTAGTAAGCCTTGACCGAGAAACAAAAAATAGTAAAGAAGAATTGACATCTAATCAACCTAGCCACGCTTATAATGGTAAGAGAGCGTAATGTGCCACTAGCTGCTTTTTGGCTGCTAACAAACTCTTCTCTCAGACAGCAAGGGTATAACTCACGAGTAAGTCAATCTTGTCTTGACATGTCGGCCAACCCATACTAATAATGCCCATAGGTTCATCCTCAATGGACTCATAAACGCCAATCGCATCTACGGCCAAGAAGTGTTCCACTTGCCAGACTGGAAAGTTATTGGCGAATACGTCTACGATGACGAGGGCGGCCGCCACCAAGCCTTCCTGTCTCCTCTGCGGCAAGTCAATGTCCTTGGATCAATCATCAAGCCCCGTGAAAGAATTCAAATCGAACAGAGCCTCAAGTACTCCAAAATCGGCGCTGAAAACTTGTGGAAACACGCTGGTCTCCGTGAAATCCGAACATGGACCCGTGGCGACGAATACGGTAACCAGCCTCCCTCGTCCTCACCTGCTCATACCCATAGTCACGCAGAAAATCGCCGAGACTGACCATCCTCAAGGCCTTCACATGCTTCAAAAGGCCCGGATCCCATTCAGCAAAGCCCCTTCAATCTACGCTCCCCAAACGCTCCCCACCCTGGATGACTGGCATGCCGTCTGGTCAACGTGGGACATTGTCACGAAGCAAATGCTGCCCAGACAAGAACTCACCGAGAAACCCATCAAGCTACGCAACGCGTGCATCTTTTACCTGGGCCACATCCCCACATTTCTCGATATTCAGCTCACAAAGACGACAAGACTGCCTCCTACAGATCCAGCGTCTTATGCTGCCATTTTTGAGCGTGGAATAGATCCGGACGTAGATAACCCCGAGCAGTGTCACGTCCATTCAGAGATCCCAGATGAATGGCCGTCTGTGGAAGACATCACCGCCTATCAGGGACGAGTGCGTGCCCGCCTCGGCAAACTGTACGAGGAGGGGGTTGAGAAGCTCCCTCGCCAGGTAGCAAGAGCCATCTGGATTGGTTTCGAGCATGAGCTCATGCACATCGAGACGCTGCTCTACATGATGCTGCAGAGCGACAGGACACTGCCGCCACCGCTCACGGGGATGCCTGACTTTGAGAGAATGGCAAAAAGGGCCTTTGAAGCCAGAGTGGACAACGAGTGGTTCGACGTGCCTGCTCAGCAAGTGATTCTAGGCATGAATGATCCCGAAAGCGGCACAGACAATGTTCATTTCGGATGGTATGTGGCTCTTTTCCCCATCACTCGTAAAGCAACCCCCGTTTGGTGTTGGACAGCCTGACAATATCAAGGGACAACGAGAAGCCAGAACGAAAGGTCCAAGTCCACGCTTTCCAGGCCCGAGGCAGGCCCATCACAAACGAAGAAGTAGGTCCGGTCCTCACCCCATCTCGACTGATATATCCGCCCATCGTCACGTCTCTAACACGAAGATGCACATCAAGTACGCCCAATACCTGTACACGACAAACACGGCCAAAGTCCCCGCGTCGTGGTCCTCCAACAGCCTCACCAACGGCACCCACAAGCCCAACGGCGCAAACGGGACAAACGGCTACAAAGCCATTCCCACGGCCCTACCAGACTCCTTCCTAAGCGACAAGTCCGTCCGCACCGTGTACGGCCTCGTGCCGCTCAAGTACGCCCTCGACTGGCCCGTCTTTGCGTCGTACGACGAGCTCGCCGGCTGCGCATCCTGGATGGGCGGCAGGATCCCGACGTTCGAGGAGGCCCGTAGCATTTACGCCTTTGTCGAGAGCCAGCGGGAGCTGCTCATGGGCGGCCGACTTTCCAGAAAGGTCCCCGCGGTGAATGGGTAAGCCCGCCCGCGTATCAAGAGACCACTGTGCCAGTTTTTGCTAACACCAGGGGGGGGCGGGAACAAAAGACATCTCTCAAACGACGGCGTGGAAGAAACACCGCCATCCTCGTCTCCCTCCGCGGTCGAGAATGGCCCCCCGCTGTTCGTCGACCTGGCCGGCACAAACGTCGGCTTCAAACACTGGCACCCCGTGCCGGTGACTTCCCAGGGCAACACGCTGGCCGGCCAGTCCGGCATGGGGGGCGTGTGGGAATGGACTTGCTCTCCGCTGCGAAGACACGAGGGCTTCCAGCCGATGGAGCTGTATCCGCTTTACACGGCCGACTTTTTTGACGGCAAGCACAACATTGTGCTGGGCGGCTCGTGGGCCACCCACCCTAGGATTGCGGGCCGGAAGAGCTTCGTGAACTGGTACCAGAGGAACTACCCTTATGCTTGGGTTGGAGCGCGGGTGGTGAGGGATGTTGAGTAGGCTAGGTGATGAATGGATTGAATGGCACGAGGCGAACGTACAACGTGCTCGGATTTGGAGCACTCTAACAAATTGTTTTTTTTTTCCTTGGTTACCATGGTAGCAAATTGGACATGTGTAGTAGGACTGACAAATTGTACGCCGACAGTCCTTTTTTGTTGACACTCCTTATTTAATTAGCAATACACTCATTTGCCAGCCCGCCTGAGATTTTAAATGTTTTTTTTTTCTTTTTTCTTTTTCATGTCTAGAAAATTCGTGAGATACTGCTTAGCACTCGCTTGACAACCGCGTCGTCAGACGACGATTTGTCGTAATGGCCGCTCAGGGTTGGTCCTTGTCAAGTCTGTCATCATCAAGACCCCATTGTTTCCATGCCATTTTGAACGCGGGCCACCGCCACCCATCCTTGCGTCCGTAAAGACGCGACGCTGTGAGTCTGTTCTCCAGCGTACTTCACCCATTAAGACTTCCGTAGATGTTGAGAAGCTGCTCAAAGACGTACCCGGGCAATTGGACTCCGTTTTCTGTGATGAGGTTTGAAATCAAATTTGGGGGCTGGCAATCGCATCAGTACGAATAATCTCTTGGCTCCCATACGACGTGTACACTCACAGTGTAGTCAACCGCGTTCTCGGGTTGCTTGCTCGCCGAGTCGGTGCTAAAATCAAGCACGTGCTGCTTGAAACCAATGTCCCGCTGGTCCAAGGGGAACTTGCGCACGAATTTGTGCGTCTCCGCGGCGACATAGAAGGGAATCTTGGCCTTTGAAGCCAGTTGGGCGATCTGGTAGGTGCCAATTCTAGAAATAATGCCCCCATTTTGAGTCACTGCTTCCGCACCAACAATAACCATGTGAACCTGACGGAGCAAACCCATGACGTGGGCAACAGCGGCCTCGGGAACCTCTGCAACGGGGATTCCCATCTGGCGCAGTTCCTTGACGACACCGTCACTCTCGGAGACGCGGGTCCCGTCCCTAACGTAAACCACCTTGAACTTTCCATTAAGACTCTTGGCGGCCCGCTCCAGCAGGCCGGTGACGGATCTTGAGGCACCGTGGGTCAAGACACATTTTCCCTCTCCTACAAAGCGCCAGCCTTGCTCGGCGACTCCGTTTCGCGCATCAATGGCTCTCTGGGCGAATAATCGACCGTTGCGGAGGAGATGTTGCCTCACGGCATCAAAGCTGCCCTCCTGCTGCTTAAGCGAGGAGACAAGATACTGCAGGAAAAGATCGGTGCCGGCGGTCAGAGGCACAGGGTTTTCGACAGAGGCCTTGAGGCGGTCGGAGTGGGCTTTGACTGTGTCAAGGGTCTCGTACACGGTTGTGGAAGGGACAGTGTTGAGAAGGTCGATTAATGATTCGATGGCAGCAACAGGTTTGGTCAAGTCGGGATCGGACTCGAGGAGCTTGTGATATGTTGAAACGATGCTAGTTGCAGTCAGAATCGAGTAGAATCGTGCCACGGATGTGTTGGAGCAACGGACTCAAAGTTGGATGGTGTTGTAGACGGTCTGCGTATAGGAAGATCTCCCGAGACGGTATCCTTGGCGGCTGGCATTTTACATTAATGGTTTGCTTGGCCTGTGATGGGTTGGTCGGTGGTGAGACGTACCGGCAGCCGCGCCAGAGGAGGCCATTGTCGATTGGCTTGCCACTGCGACAGGGCGTTGGGGTAAATCAAATGCAAGTTGAAGATGCAGTGTGCGGCGAAATATCGATTAAATTTGAACCCCACGATGAATGTGGTGAGTCAAGACAACATGGACGGTGACGGGAGCCACCAGGCTTTGGAGGGGCCGGAGCTGTGCTATTGGCCAGACATGGAGCCAGGGGCGGGTGACTGCTGGCGGTACGTACAAGGTGGAATGGCGGGGCAGTCCTCCTTACGGGGTACCAGACAGTACCGACCGAGGCACGTACCTAGTGCTAGGAGGCGCAAGGGGTCAACGGTGTTTTAGTGACTGTCACTAACTTATCAGCCATAACAAGACAGCTCATTAAAGTCTGGTTTTTCCTATCTAATATATTAGACTTCAGGACCTGTCTTGTTGATGGCTGTGCTGTCACCAGAACCAGGGGCCGCGCGCGTAGTAAATTGTTCCAGCTGCTCAACAGAGATGCATTCAATGTTCCTCCGAGGTCAAATGTTCAAGTCAAGTCACCAGCCTTTGCATTGATGGTGGTCGGCGCAATGCCTGTGCTAAACCACGTTTTGCATAAATCTCACGTCCCCCCATTCATGGGCCCCCGGCAGCGTACGTCAGTGGACCCTTGTGTCAATCAACTTCATCGTCAGTCTCCATACGGGGCACAAGGTAGAGCTTTTGTCCCCCGGAGCTCACAACGCCGCCAAACATACTCCGTACACCCGGGCTCTCACTCCTCTTTACTCGCATACCAAGCAGGCATTCATGCTTCTCTCTTTCTTCCGCCGCCGTCCCCTGCCTTTCATGTCCTTTTTGTAACAAAGTCGACTGTCAGCCACCATCGTCCACTACCTAGGTATATGAACCACATATATTCCCGAATATCCCCTCGCACAACCCCAGGGTTGTTTCGGTCAAGCCAGCGGGTCCACACACCTATCACCAAACTCTCGACACACTTCGAGCCTCTCCGAGATGGACCTCATCGACCCCGCCACTGGCAAGCCGCTCCCCGAAGACGCCATCCGGCGCGACCTCTTCATTGACGAGCCCGTCCACGTCTACCAGATCCCTCCCCTAACCTCCATGAAGGGCCACAACGCAAAGTCATGGACCGACGACCCCTCGCGAAACATCTTCACAGCACGCCTGCGCGTCGTCGAAACTGCCTTCGAGTCGCCCGCATCCGACGGCGGCCAGGGCCAGCCCAAGCTCAAGGTTGACCTGGTCCTCGAGGACCCTTACGACGGAAAATTGTTCGCCGCCGCGCCGTATACCAACAGCTCTGTCGTAGAGCCAGCCGTCGACAGTACTCGTTTCTTTGCGCTGACAGTTCGCGATCCGCAGGGGCACAAGGCCGTTCTTGGTATAGGGTTTGAAGACAGGTCGAAAGCGATTGATCTGGGGATTGCTTTGCAGGGGGCGCGGAGGGTGTTGGGTCTCGAGAGCGCCTGCGCCGATGCGAGTGAGGCGAAACAGGAGAGCAAGGATTACAGTCTGAAGGAGGGCCAGACCATCACCGTGAATATAGGGAGTAAGTCGGGGAGGAGGAGGCAGCCCGAGCCGCCAAGCACTTCGGATCCGGCTACACTACAGTCCTTTGCGTTGCCGCCTCCGCCGAGTGCTGGTTCTGGTCTGGCCATGGCTCAGCAAGGGGCCGGGTTTCCTTTGCCACCGCCGCCGAGCGCAAAGGACGTGAAGAGGAAGAGGCAATCTCTGAGAGATTTGGGATTCAACGACGGGAAAAATGGGGAGTTTGCCTAGATGCGGGAAGGGAGTTGGAAAAATTCGAATCACAGTCCCCGGATACAGCAACTGGGCATTTTGCAGGGTGCGACGGCGGAGGAACGATTCCCCAGTGGTATATTGCCACCATTTCATGCTGCATAGTTACAGAAGCTACGTGATTGCGCCACACGAAATAATGAAAAACATGCCATTATCTTCTTTTGATCTTTCAACGTTGCATTCGACTCCTGTCGTCCCGTAGAGTTCTTCACGTCAACCCCAAACTAGTGGGCAAGCTAAGCCTCCTGTCTTTTTTGAGTAGTGAAGTATAATCATCTCCTGTCATTCTGCGTAGTAGAGGTCTTTGCTGCTCGAACTCGTCGTCATTAGGCTCGAGCAGTTCGCCCGGGCCATTTCCAGACACCTCTCTATCATCTTGGCCCATGTCGGTAGGGCTCGCAGCGTCCTCGTCGTATTCTTGATGGCTGAATAGACCTTTTTGAGGAATAAATGCCGGGGTTGCACCGTTTAGTCTCGATATTGATTGTTGCAACTCGTAGTGATTCTGGGGGTGAGAATGGCGTCTCAGACCGCGAGAATCTTGCCAACGCTGGTTCTGTGCCACATTCCAGGTCTCTCGGCTTTTCGCTTCGACAAATAATTCACCCAATCTAGCAAAAATGATTTGCTCTTGCTCAGCAGCGTGGATCAGTTGACCACGCAAAAGTCCCAGCTCCTTTCTGGCCCGTCGCTTGCACTTCCTTGACTCTCCTTGAAACGATTCGGCCTCGGTCAACGAATATCTGTTCATCAAATCGCAATGTTGGGCGACGTGTGCCTGCAAAGTGAGGCTCAGATAGTTCTGCTCAGCATAAATTTCTTCGTGTGACCGAGGATGAAATAGAGCCCTGGGCCGGGAAGAGAACAATGTGCGGGAACAAGATTGGTTGTTTTCCCTTCTACTGGTACTGCGGGAGTGGTGGGAGTGCGTATTCTTGTGGTCAGTAGATATGGAGGTCGGTGACTGTTCGCTGCTGCTCTGGCGCTCTGCTGATGAGCTGAGTGATGGTGCTGAAGCGTCGTCCTCCTGCTGTTCGCCGCTGAGAGACGGCGCCGCCACAGGAAGATCAACGCTTTGGGATACTGTCGATCCCATTTTGCCACTATCGTGGGTCGAGTATAGTAACTATGCCAGCAGGAGATATGTCGAAACGGTAGACGTGTCAACGTTGAAATTCGCCCGCATGTAAATTGTTTCCTGTAAGTCTTGTATTGAAACTAGGCAAGTCGACTCGGCAAGATCCGACCTCATACAGCCTTGGTCACTTTTGCGCACATGCTACAGCATAAAACCGAGCCCGAAGAGCGCAGACGCAACTAAGCGCAGGAATATTGACCCAACCGTTAGGAAAGGGGGGGGCGGGTTACTTGAGCCTTTATTAGATCCGTGAGTCAACATTGTCAGCGCCTCTGCTTCCTCCGACTTCAAACGAACCACCAAACCACCCAACAATATTGCATTGTTCATGACATATCGCATTAAGGGTTGGTAATGTGGCGGCGGCACAAAGAGGCCAACTGCTGGCGGCGAGTCCACAATTTACGTGTAACTTGTTCGCAATGAAAATAGCCCCAATCATATTACCAAGAGGCCGTCTGATACAAAAAGATTGCAGTCCCCTACCCAGTTCTTCCTCGTATATTAGCCGCCACTAAATAGCGAACCCATCATGTTTGGGCGGTTCATTGAATCTCCAAAGTCCAGACTTATTTGCGGCTTGTCGGACCACAGAGACCTCTTCGCCTGTCACGGGGCGATTTATGTCACTATAGCGTATCTCTCCTTTGTCTCGGTCGCTTGACTTGCGCCTCTTCTTGCCCACGTGGGCGTCGGGGCGGTACTGCTCCATGATATTGATGAAGCAATCCTTGGACACTTCGGACGCTAACCACTTCATTATCTCAACGCCTTCAGCCTCCTTCCCCGGCATGACAAGATGTCGTATCAACAGCCCTTTCTTAGCAATGCCGTCTCCGGTAAAGCACAGATCACCAACTTGGGCTTGCATAGCCCTGATGCTTTCTTTTGCTGTCGCAGCGTAATCATCTGCCTTGAGTAGCCGCTTGGACGAACTGGTCTCCCACACCTTGAAGTCGGCCAAATAAATGTCGACGAGCCCATCCATTAGCTCCAACGAGGCAAGAGAATCGAAGCTCGAGGTGTTGTACACAATCGGGACCCTCAGCCCTAATTGCTTGGCATGAAGAACACTCAACGCCACTTGCGGCACAACATGTTCCGGAGTGACAATGTTGATGTTGTGGACATTACCAACCTCCTGCAACTTGATGTACCATTCTCCCAGTTCCTCGGGGGTGAGATCCATGCCATTCCGCTGGTGGGAAATGTCAAAGTTCTGGCAAAAGATACACCGTAAATTGCAGCCACTCATGAATACCGCGCCACTGCCATGGTGGCCCTGGATGCACGGCTCTGAATAGAGAAAAAATAGAAATGTCAGAACTTGATTCAGAAAGCCAGGACGAGGATGTGGATGGTGGTACTGGGGGACATGTGATGGACTAGTGGTGTGGTGAGGCTTTTTGCATGGCGTTTTATGCAGGATAAAAAGATCAGACCTTCTCCAAAATGGGGTGCGATGACATTGACCTTGACCTTGTCCCCAATGAGGCACATTCCAGTTTTTTCATATCGATTCACACTGCAGAGCCGTGGGCAAAGATTACAGTTGCGGAGGTGAGCGTAGGCGAGAGAGCGCTTCTTGGCTTCATCTCGCGAGCTGAGAGTCTGATATCGGGGAGTATAATCATCTAGGAGAAAGGGAGGGGCCAAGTGAAGGGGTCGAGACCGTGGTGCTAGCTTTGTCGTAGGTTGTGGTGATTTTTTGGCCCGAAATATGCTCGATATTCTTGCATTCATGGCGCGCACCACCGTGACATCAACCCTATTGTCGTCGTTGGGTGTGGCCTCGGAATGCTCGCCATTGGTCTGCTTGGTTCAGAACAATAGATGGAAGTCAGGGTGCAAGTCTATGGCTGTAGATAAGGATAAGCGTGTAACTTGAAGCATCGTTTTGCATCTAATGGGGGTTTATTCTCTTATCGAGGCATGGCTTTTGCTGGCTACCCGATATCGCTCTTAAGGTCTACTGGGCGTCAAAATCATCTATGTGTACTTCGCCCTTGGCTAAGCACAGGGTTTTATTCCCGGGAATAAGAATCTTTATTCACACGTTATTCGGTGAAATATCTTTACTACGGCCAAGTATGTATGCGTGTACACCTAAGATGTAGACCGCGATTCCCTGTGCAGTCCTAATACCTCAATGCACAGATGGCGGGGTGCTCCAACCGTGTTTCATCGATAAGCAGCTCTGTTGTACTTGAATAAGTGCTTACATTAAGGAAGATTGTGAGTGGTGCTCTCACGTGTTCCGTGCACATACTAGATCGGTCTCTCATATCACACCTCATAGAGGTAAATAGTTTGCCCACTGCTTAGACAATCTTCACGAATGAGTCGTGACCTGACCGCCCCAGACACGTCATGATTTCCGAGTGCGGCGCAGAAACAACCTCCTATCCTAACTCATCCACCTCACTCACTCATCAAGAGGAAGCTCTCAGGATCGAACGGGTCGGTATTCCGAATGTGTCGTTTTGGTACAACTATTTGGCGTTATGACTCGTATGGCGTCAGCGTGTGGAGATTGAAGGGATGTGGTGGGCAACAATGGCTGAGGAACGCAAATTTTGCCCTCAACTCGTGAAATCCACTAGTTAGACACCATCAAGGCCCGCCCTCGATTGTACAGGAGTGGCGATGCTGTTCTGCACGTTCCAGCTGGGTATTGCAGGCTGTGCAACAGAGACAGCGTGACCATTAGCGCATGCATGACAACGTTGATAGCAAGCACCGAAATTGGCATCGTTTCTGCCCTCGCTTCTGACGTCCCAATCTCTAATTTGAGCGCGTTTGGCAATAATCGTTAGTACTCAATGTACTTTCTTGCCGTTGTTTTTGAGTTTGCGCCGTCTATGGGTCTTCGTTTCGAGGGTTGCAGCGATGAACGCGTCGCAACCGTTCCTGGAACCAATCTCGTCATACTCCGTCATTGTGGTTGAAACTAAGGCGCCTCCTGGTCGCCGCGGGAGATTGCCCGATAACCCATTTTTGCATCCCTAGGCTAAAGCTAAAACTTTCAACGATGCGCAAGTCATGACGAGATACTGCAGCTTCGGCTGGCCGACTGCAGTTTGTGGCGACCATGCTTCACTTCTGGCTTTGACAGACCAGGAAGCCCCCTGCTGTTTCCATAGCGTCCATTATCTCCGAACTGGATGGCATCCACATCTTGAATTGCATGCGACTGCTCTTGTACTACCCATTCTTCTAGGGATGCGATGGTCAACGAATTACATGAATGAAGGACAGACTGTAAAATCGCATTTAGTGAGGTATACCCATGGCTGCACGCTTTGTCTCGACATCCAGTCTCGTGCCAATGCCTTCTCCAGCCGGATAGTGAAAATATGAGAAGAGGTCGATGCATCTTCCAGTTTGTATAACCTACCCGGTGCGACCAATGGCAACTCGTCGCATAAGCGGGGGACGAGTGTGACATCACGATGCAATGTTAGTGCCCCAAGACCAATGGATTGATTCGGTACCTAAGAGACTGAGATGGAGAGGGACTCACACTTGCTCGATTTGCCGACACACAGGACAAACTAGGAAATACGGGGAGTACTCCGTCCGTCCTGAGCAGAGAAATTGCATCACAGGCAGCATACGTAGCACAGCTTGGGGAATGTTGGCTTGGGCGGCACTGAAGAAAACTGCCGGGGGTACGTGCGTCCATCGATCGTGGCCATGGGTCTGTACGACAGCATCCAGCTCTCCAGTTCGAGCCCAGCTGGACAGGGATATGACGCATCCGCCGTGGATCCACGACCGTGGGGGGGTTGTAGGTTGAAGCCAGCCGAGTGGCGCGCCGGTGCAGTGCCTGTCCACTAGGCGCCACATTGGATAAATTACAGTCCAAGGAGTCTGTTGGGAAGAGTTGGAAAAAAGAGCCGAGTTGGCGTCGCTTTGGAAGCGTCATGAATGGGAAACGCCCTAGTTTGCTTGGTATGCTTAGGTTGGAAGATCAGCCTTTTGAAGTATTCGCAACGGAAAGCAAACAATAGGGATAGAAGTCAATCTATGCGGACTACTCCGTAGGCACATATATTTTGTGTATAGATAGTTCCTTGTACTTCCATCTTCGGGTTGATTCAGCGGGCGGCTCGTCCACCGAGCAATATGAGAGGCAGACGAGGTGGATCGATCTCGTCGCAAACGCTGGATCCGCATGGGATATTGCTTGCAGGCCCGCACTATTATGTACGTACAGAATGTACTGGGTATTAGGGAGCGTGGTCCTGGGCCCCCATCCGTGTGGTGGTTGCGAGATGAATGTCGACAGAGGTTGCTCGTGGGCCGGGAAGATGGGCCGCACCATGCGCCTCGCCTGGACTAGTCTCCGCTGAGACACTGGCTTATTACTACCTGCGACTCAGTTGACGACTTGATGGAGGAGGGCAGTTAGAGATGGGGGCAAAACTTGCCGTCGTCATTGTGCCTCAGGGGAGCCGGGTATGTACCCAGGGCGGTCGTAGACAAACACACAGAGTACTCCGTCGAGTGATGATGGCAGCTAGGTGGCAAACACCTAGTACCAAGGGAAGAGGCGAGGTAACCACGCATGTCAGAAATCATGGAACATCTGGAGGAGGGAAATGACCACATGCAGGACGAACGGCACCTGGACACAACCATGTCGCCTGGCCTGGGGACGACATAAGTCGACCAGCCCTGATTTCGGTTTTCGCCGATTGGCACTAGTGAGCTCATAGATGCTCATCCCAGACATATGCGGATAAAGTCAGTCAACAAGTTGAACATGGCAGAGGGGGCAGGTCCCCATCTTCGTCCCGCATATTGGTTTTTGTATGCCGTGCCTGCCCTTGTCAGAGAACCCGCCCTCCGCCCTCCTCCCTTCGACCTCTCCCCTTATCCTTTTTATTTTATTTTATTTGTCCTTCTTCGTTTTGAAACAGCCGTCGCCGTTTTTCATCACCTCACCACCTCACCAATTGCCAAAGAAACGAACACGAGTATCCTCCTCAAGCGCAACGGCGCGTGAACCCGTCGCAAATCACGGTCTTAATCGCGACTCGTCCAAGCCTAGCCGTGGACTAGTTTTCAACCCGTATTTGTACACGGCTTCGAGCAGCTGGCGGCTGCCAAACTCCCAACATGGGAAATTTTATTAGTTGGATCAACAAGAATGTGCCCTCTAGCGAAGACAATGGCAATGGCCAGAGCGACGCGACCAACAAGCCTCAGTCCGTCTGGGGTTAGTTTTGCCCTCGAGAAGCGCCCAACAGAGACTCGGGTAACATGAACTGACTGGTTTGCGCTTTCTAGGCATGATCGACACTTTGGTTCCTGTACTGATAGTGTCGGCCATCTATCTTATTTTCTTCTTGATCTTCAGAAGATCCCAACGCAGATACTATGCGCCGCGTACGTATATAGGCGGCAAATAGTGAGTACATTCCCCTCATCGTGACCCTTTTATTGGCCCTGGTTACAGGCACGATGTTGCCGCACCGCTTCATGTGCCTTGCCTCGTCTCTACGAGTATCGAGCAGCAAGATGCTAATGTGTCTGATCTAGTGAACGGAGTCCGGAAATGCCTAGTGGATGGTTCAACTGGTTCGGCGCATTTTGGAAGATCCCAGATGCCTACGCACTCACCCATCAAACCCTCGACGCCTATCTCTTCATTCGCTATCTCAAAATCTGTACCGTCATCTGTTTCGTCAGCTTGTGTATCACCTGGCCCATTCTTTTCCCCGTCAATGCGACGGGAAAGGGAGGCAAGTCGCAGCTGGAGATTCTGTCCTACAGTAACGTCAACGTCGACGAGTCGCCAAATTACTTCTTCGCCCACGCCTTGGTTGCATGGGTTGTTTACGGCTTTCTAATGTACATGATTACGCGCGAGTGCATCTTCTTCATCAACTTGCGCCAGGCCTACCTTTTGACTCCTCAATATGCCAAACGCATCTCGGCCCGTACCGTTTTGTTCACCTGTGTCCCCAAGGAATATCTCAACGAGGCCAAGATTCGCCAAATGTTCAACAATGCAGTCAAGCATGTCTGGATTGCCGGAAATACCAAGGACTTGGACGAGAAGGTCGAGGAACGCGACAAGGTTGCTATGAAGCTGGAGGGCGCCGAGGTTAAACTGATAAAGGCTGTCAATGTTGCTCGAACCAAGGCATTGAAGAAAGGCGGAAATGACAATGAGAACGAGCAGGACACAGAAACGGCTGATATAATTTCCAGATGGGTTCCTGACAAGAAGCGACCCTCGCATCGTCTTGGCCCATTGGGCCTTGTTGGCAAGAAGGTCGACACGATTGAATGGTGCCGCTCTGAGCTCGAGAAGAGCATCCCAGAGGTGGAGAAGGCTCAGCTCGGATGGAAACAAGAGGGAAATTATGAAAAGGTAGGATCGCTGTTTGTTGAGTTCCACACTCAAGCCGATGCCCAAGCGGCCTTCCAGGTTATCACCCACCACCACGCTCTTCATATGAGCCCAAAGGCCATTGGTGTGAAACCTGTCGATGTCATTTGGAAGAACCTGTCCATTCCATGGTGGCAACTCATTCTGCGCCGCTATGCTGTATACGCCATTGTTGCGGCTCTCATCATCTTTTGGGCGATCCCCGTTGGTATCGTTGGTATCATTTCCCAAGTCTCTACTCTCACCAAACTTCCTGGCCTGACCTGGCTGAATGATATTCCCGAGGTGAGTAGCTTTACTGTGCTGTTATCATTTTGCATGACGATCAAATATGAAGTCTAATGCTCGAATTTAGAAAATCCTCGGAGTCATCTCCGGCTTGTTGCCGGCGGTCGCCATCTCTATCCTCATGTCGTTGGTTCCCGTAATCATGCGTGCTTTGTCCCGGGTCGCCGGAGCCAAGACCAACACCGAAGCCGAGTTGTTCACCCAGAATGCGTACTTCTGCTTCCAGGTTCTCCAAGTCTTCCTCATTCGATCTATCACTGATGCCGCCTCTACTGCAATTGTACAGATTGCCCAGAATCCTAGCTCAGTTTTCTCCATATTGGGAGGTGCCCTGCCGACTACATCTAACTTTTACATTTCTTACTTCATCGTTCAGGGTCTCACAATTGCTATCGGTGTTGTGACCCAGGTTGTCGGCCTGTTCATCTTCAGATTGTTGTACAAGTTCCTTGCCAGCACTCCTCGCGCCAAGTATGCCAAATGGACTACTCTGAGCGCCATCCTCTGGGGAAGCCTCCTGCCTGTCTATACCAACATTGTAGTTATCAGTAAGTTTGCATTTTGCTTGGGATTCGCGTATTTTCCAGCTTTTTGTTGACAAATAATCCTCCAGGCATTGTGTACTCTGTCATCGCACCCCTCATTCTGTTCTGGTCTACTTTGGCACTCTTCCTGTTCTATCTCGCTTATCGGTACAACCTCCTCTTTGTTTCCGATACTGCCGTCGACACTCAGGGGTTGATCTACCCTCGAGCTTTGAAGCAACTCTTCACTGGCATCTACCTCGGCGAGATTGTGATGATCGGCATGTTCTCTGTGGTCAAGTCACCGGGACCGGCTGTTCTTATGGCCATTTTCTTGGTCTTCACAATCCTCTTCCACATCACCATGACAAGGAGTCTCAACCCTCTTCTGTATGGCCTTCCCCGCACGCTCGAGACTGAGGAGGCCATTTTCCAGGCTCGTGGTTCTGATATCGACACGGAAGAAGCCAACAGGGAGACGAGCAATGAAGGTGACGTATCTAATGGTGCAAAGGGGGATGCATCCACCAAGAAGATTTTGTCGGGTGGTAATGATTACGGGCTTGAGAAGAAGGGCAATCTGTTTTCTCGCTTCTTAAAACCCTGGGTGTTCTCGGACTATGCTACTCTGCGACACATGGTCCCCCAGGAGCAGAGCATCAACTTTGCCCAGCTCCAGCAGGCTGGTGAGGAAAACGAGCGCAATGCTTACTTCCCACCCAGCGTCAACAGCCAGCCTCCTCAACTCTGGGTGCCGCGCGATCCTATTGGTGTATCGAAGCATGAGATTGCACTCACGAGCAGAGTCATTCCAATTAGCGACAAGGGCGCTCACCTGGACGAAAAGAACAATGTTGTTTGGTCCGAGGATTTGACCGACAAGGAGGAACTGCCTCCCATCTACGACGAGAAGGTCTACTACTAGAGCTGAGCTGTTTTGAATTGATACCCCTGTGTAACTTGATGGTTTTACCGGTCTATTTTGAGATTTGAGGACATTGAGAACTGGCCATGTGTTGAGTTGGTTGGGTAAGGGAATTTGCTCTTTTTTTTTTCTTTTTTTTGCGAGGGGATTGGGTCCTGCGGGAGGTTTAGAGGGGAGAATGTTAAAAGAATGTTAATGAGAGTGACGGAAATATTGACGCTTTGAATAGTGGCGGATGTGTGTGCCGCCTGCTATCATTTTTTCTTCTATAATCCTTTATGAAACTAGTTAACATTCGACGTTCACGGTTGCAGCACATGCGACCATGGCTCTGAGCACTGGTTTGATAGTGTGGTGGTTGTTTCCTTTTGAGTAACGTAACAACTGGCAGTGCGATAACTCCAGATGGCCTCGTCTTGGCATGTTCAAGATTTAGCCCGCATCTATGGTCTGTGGGAGAACTGTGCCCGATGACAGACAGACATGGGATGGGAAATAGTAGATGAATTTGGAAACGACATGCAACATGGATCGAGAACCTGTTTCGCACCCGAGCAACAGTAGAGACTGCTTTACCCATTCACTCTGATTTCATCAACATTCAACGGCACTGAGCAGTGAGAACATCAACGTTGCAGCGCCGGTAGATTTCATGAACTTTTGCAGTGACACGGCGACTTCCTCGGCACATCCCTTGCTTTTGAGCTAGACATTGGACGGAGCAAAGCGGAGAAGCGGATCTGGTAGTTATGGCGACGCGGATGTGGACGAATCTCGGATGGCTGTTCGGTCCTAGTCGTCATCGACATGTGCTGCTTCTTGTATGCGGCCGCTTTGCAAGCACATGTTTACTGCAGGCAAACATGACTTGCAGATGCGGCAAGAAGCAGGACAGGGAGAGCACATGCACGACGGATGCTGACAGCATTGCGGAGCGAAAGGGATGATATTCTATGCGCTCCATAATAACAATACTTGACTTGACAAGTTGTACGGAGTACTTCCGAAGTAACTGAGAACACCCAACCACACCCACTCACATACATGTTACTCGTGCCACGCCCTACTATTTTAGGGGCCTCATTTCACTTACCACCTAAAGGTGGTGCTTATTACTAACGCGGCTTGATTATTAACGTGGCTTAATTTTTAACCTAATAACTTAATTAACCTCTTTACTTAAAATATATACTCTTTTTATTATAAATTTTTAGGTATTTTAATATAAAAGTTTAACGCTATTAATGTGCTTTTTTTATAGCTTTAAAAAACGCTTTTTTAATTAAGTTATAATATTTTTTATTAATTATCTTAATAACTTAATAAGTTAAAATAATATTATTTTTAATCTTTTAATAACTTAATAAGTTAAAATAATATTATTTTTAATCTTTTAATAACTTAATAAGTTAAAATAATATTATTTTTAATCTTTTAATAACTTAATAAGTTAAAATAATATTATTTTTAATCTTTTAATAACTTAATAAGTTAAAATAATATTATTTTTAATCTTTTAATAACTTAATAAGTTAAAATAATATTATTTTTAATCTTTTAATAACTTAATAAGTTAAAATAATATTATTTTTAATCTTTTAATAACTTAATAAGTTAAAATAATATTATTTTTAATCTTTTAATAACTTAATAAGTTAAAATAATATTATTTTTAATCTTTTAATAACTTAATAAGTTAAAATAATATTATTTTTAATCTTTTAATAACTTAATAAGTTAAAATAATATTATTTTTAATCTTTTAATAACTTAATAAGTTAAAATAATATTATTTTTAATCTTTTAATAACTTAATAAGTTAAAATAATATTATTTTTAATCTTTTAATAACTTAATAAGTTAAAATAATATTATTTTTAATCTTTTAATAACTTAATAAGTTAAAATAATATTATTTTTAATCTTTTAATAACTTAATAAGTTAAAATAATATTATTTTTAATCTTTTAATAACTTAATAAGTTAAAATAATATTATTTTTAATCTTTTAATAACTTAATAAGTTAAAATAATATTATTTTTAATCTTTTAATAACTTAATAAGTTAAAATAATATTATTTTTAATCTTTTAATAACTTAATAAGTTAAAATAATATTATTTTTAATCTTTTAATAACTTAATAAGTTAAAATAATATTATTTTTAATCTTTTAATAACTTAATAAGTTAAAATAATATTATTTTTAATCTTTTAATAACTTAATAAGTTAAAATAATATTATTTTTAATCTTTTAATAACTTAATAAGTTAAAATAATATTATTTTTAATCTTTTAATAACTTAATAAGTTAAAATAATATTATTTTTAATCTTTTAATAACTTAATAAGTTAAAATAATATTATTTTTAATCTTTTAATAACTTAATAAGTTAAAATAATATTATTTTTAATCTTTTAATAACTTAATAAGTTAAAATAATATTATTTTTAATCTTTTAATAACTTAATAAGTTAAAATAATATTATTTTTAATCTTTTAATAACTTAATAAGTTAAAATAATATTATTTTTAATCTTTTAATAACTTAATAAGTTAAAATAATATTATTTTTAATCTTTTAATAACTTAATAAGTTAAAATAATATTATTTTTAATCTTTTAATAACTTAATAAGTTAAAATAATATTATTTTTGATAATTACTAATAGGCTTTATAAATTACTAAAAGTATTATATTTAAGCGAATATAATCTCGTTATTTATATAGCTAAAAGGTAAGACTATAAGCTTTATATTTACCTTAAGCTTCTTTATTAAATATTATAATACTATATATTTTTACCCTTAAAGAATAATAAATATAAAAATAACCTTACTATTAATAAAGATAGCTTTTAAAGCTATTAATACCTCTTTATTTTCTAGTATTAAAAATAAATGCTTTATTTTTCGCTTTATAATAATAAGGTAATCTTAGCTAATTTTAATATAAAAGCTAATTTTATTTATATTTTAAATATCTTTAATAGGAATTTTATATTCTTTTATAATAGCTTTTAAAGTATTAAAGTAAATAAAAGTTCTTTTAATATCTTTTAAAGCTTTACGCTTTAAATTAAACTTCTTTTATAAGTATTTATTATATTAATACTATTAAATAAAGCAAGTAATTTAAAGCTTTTTAATAAGCTTAAGTAAGTCTATTAATAATAATAATAACCTATCTTTTAAAATGTAATTTATAGCGTTTATAATAAATTTAACTTAAATAATAAAATTTACCCTATTAAAGCAATTAATATAATTATATAAAGTAACTTCTTCTTCCCTTAAAAGCTTTATATTTTCCGTTAAATAGCTTTTTTCGACGATATATTATATTACAGCTATAATACGTGCTAGCTTAATTTTCCCCTACCTTAAAGCTTTAGGTCTACTAGCTAATTTTTAAGGTGGGCTTAGCTTAATTCCACCCCT